AACACATTGACCATTTTTCCAGATACTTAGTGGCCATTTGCAATTTTAAGAAGTGTCTGCTCAATTCATTTGCCCATTTAGTGATTGGCTTACTAGATTTTTTTTTGTGTTAAACTTTTTGGGTTCTAGATAATAATTCTCTATCAGAAGAGTAGCTGGCAAAGATTTTCTCCAATTCTGATGTTCTCTTCACTCTCTTCTTTCTTTTGCTCCACAGAAGCTTTTTATTTTAGGGTACTCCCATTTGTTGCTTCTTGATACTTATGAAGTACAGTAGGGTATTTTGCTATGTATATGCAATATGCACAGATGAAATCAAGCAATTAATGCTTCCATCTTCTTATTCAAGTTCCTCTCTTATAGCTACCCATAAAATATATAATAGGATATTGTGAACTATTATTTCTCCACTGTGCTACAGAACAAAATAACTTATAAATTCTGCACTTTGTGTTTGTTATACAACCCCCTCCATCACCCTACCTCCTTGTACTTAAGAGTTTATTCTTCATTCAAATGTACATTTAAAAATATCCACATAGAAAAATGAAGGTGAAGTATTTATGTTTTTGTGTGATTTATTTCACTTAACGTAATTGTCCTCCAGTCTCATCCATTTTGCTGGAAATTACAGAATTTCATCCTTCTTTTTGGTTGAAGAATATTCCATTGTGCAAGCATAACATATTTTCTTATATTTTCATCTACTGATGGGCAATTAGGTTTATTCCATATCTTAGCCACTGTAGCAATAAGCAATAGAGGGCCAATAGAGAGCAGCAATACACATGAGCCTAAAAGTATCTCTTTGACATGCCAACACAATTTCCTTGATAACTGGATAACTGGATTATATGGCAGATCTATTTTTAGTTTTATGAGGAACACCTCTGTTGTTCTGCATAGGGACTGTATTGAGTTACACTTCCACCAATGCTGTATACAAAGTTCCTTTCCTCTACATCCTCACCTGCATTTGTTATTTTTGTCCCTTTGATAATAACCATTCTAATTGAGCCACATATATATCTAAATTGTATATTAAGTTCTGACTATGCGTTCTGCATTGTGTTTCACTGGTTGTTCACCTTTCCTGATCGGGTTATGGGAGTATATGTGGTGGTGCTGGAATTGATTCATTTTAATTCTTCGTAAGAGTTACCATGAGGCAATGATATTTGAAGAATGATGGTCATAATAAAAACACAAAAAGATCATAGCACTGTGAAAGAAAGTGTAAGACTCTTGTTAAATATAGTCTAGGAAGTTTTTTCTGGATATGGTATATTTACTTGAAAACCTCATGGCAGAACAATTCCTTCTCTGGTCCAGTAATGATCACTTTATAATTTGATGTCTGTAGTCTAAGGTACTACATTTGGTTCCTTGTGGGACAGGAAAACATCTAGAAAATTGTCAAAGTGAAAGAAAGCTCTGTTTTTTGTGGTTTCTCATTTACACTGTCCTCACTGAGGAGCTATTTTCCCATGAAATCTCTTGTTTTAGAATAGGCAGTTATTTCTCCTTCTAGCATAGTTTCCCAAATATTCTAAAATGTTGGATTTCTCATCAATTATTTGTTTTGATTCATTTTGAAGAAAATATAGTACTAATAATCCACCTGGGCACTATTATATTTGTTACACAGAAGCTGTTTTTTTCTGTTCTTTTGTCCTTTTTTTTCTTGGGTGATAATCATTGTGGACTCTAAGGTATAATTCCCAAGAAAATCCAATCAAGGAAGGACTAGTTATTCCCCAGACTCAGAACTATCACTTGGTCATCAATATTAAACATTGCTAATTAGAATGTTTTTCATTTTAAGAAAAACAACATAAGGCTCTTTGTTTTGGAAAAGGTTATGATCTCATTCAGAGTGTCAAGTTATCCTTCATAATCTAGAAAAATGTTCCTTCCACAAGGACCATCACATAAAGCACATGTAAAGTGAATATTTCAGTTTAGCAGAGTAGATATTAATCCAGCCTATCTTTGAACAGTGGATCTGTGGGTCCAGCTATCACTCAAAATTATTTTTCATTTTATTATAATCCACAATTTGATTCTTACTTGAGGTATTTGTTAGCTATGTATTCAGAGAGAGAGGTATGAAGAAGAGTATGAAATAAGCAGCTATGAGTTTTCCTAATGGAATCTGGGAAGACTCTTTTGGAGAAGATAGTAAGCTAGATCATAAAAGTTTTGACCAGAAGATGATGTTCCAGAGAGGGAACAGTATATTTTCATTCTTTCTATTCCATATTTTTTCTATTATTCTGTATTTTCTTTTACTTTTATATGGTAGGTAAATGCCTAAGGTATAATTTCATTTTCTGTGTCTCACAAGCTCTGAATTTCTATCATTTATTTCTTAGCATCACTCAAAGTAATTCCTATGTTTCTTTTAGAGAAATTATAGCCCCTATGTAATTGGAGCTTTTTTTCTCTCTAAAACTATCAATGGAATTATTGTATCATCAGAGGACAACATGTTAACTTCTTGTTCAAAGTCAGGGAAGAGAAAGCTCTTGTTCTTTGCAAATTTTATAGGTATTTTCATTCTTGAGTCTAAATCATTTTTAGGGGTCAGAGATTAATTTGTTTTTTTGTTTTCTCATTTTGATGCAACCCAGATGAAGCAGACTGTGGATTACTGCAATTTTCTGCTCTCTTGAGAAACTATCACAGGAACTAAGACCTGGAATAGGCAATGTTTCAGAAATGAAGGGCTAAGTTGATAATGTCCCTTTCTGTGGTGGGCAGGGTGTAGGGTGAGAATTGAAAAGAAGCAGTGGCCTAGACCAGTCAGGAAACAGCACATTAGGAGCATATATAACCAAAATAAAAATATGATGCAAGTTGAATTCATATAAACTCAAGTAATTGCATTAGCCAATGTGTAAATGGTTTATTTTAGAGGGGTCTGGGAAGGGTAATAATGGGGTCTATGAACTTGAGACTAGATCAGTGAGAGAATGAATACTAGTAGAGGCTGTTGGCAGCTAAAGGGATATATGAAGGCAGTGGATACTTAAGTAGGAGTAGGTAGTACCATGATGAGAGGTAGCAGGGGAGGTGGCAATGAGGGTTCTGATACCAAGACCCACTTCATTCTGTGAAATTCAAATGAATACCCTTATAGCAAAAGATACTTCCTTACACCCATGAAAATTATCTTTGACTTTAGGTTGTCAGTGCCTTAAAAGTGGTATTGCAGAAAATACCTGGAAAATGGAACCTACTTTTTTTTTTTTTTAACTTTTTCTTCTTCTTCTTGCTCTCCTCCTTCTTCTTCTTTCCCTTTCCTTTTTCTTCTTTTTCTCCTTCTTATTTTTGTGGTACTAAGGATCAAACCAAGAGCCTTTGAATTGAGCTACATTCCTAGTTCTTTTGTATTTTTGCAAAAGGCTCTTGCTAAGTGGCTAAGTTGCTCAAACTTATGATCCTCCTGCCTCAGTCTTCCAGAGTGGTGGCATTACAGGTGTACACCACCATACCCAGGCTTGACTATTTTGTTTTTAAAAGAATGATGTACAAATCAGAAAATTGATAGAATAAAAGTAGAAAGAGGAGAATAGCTATAAATATTCCCTTCACAGAAAATAGCTCCTGTTAAAATTTTGAGATTTCTTTCAGATATTAAAATTCATTCACATTTATTAAGGAATTGCAATAATTTGGCTTCAATTTAATGCTTAGCTGTGCAGAATTAGGAATTTATCAAATCTCTTTGAGTCTTTATTTTCTAGTCTATAAATTACAGATTATTCTAAACAGGTTATTTGGCAAAAAAAGTATGAAAGTTTTAGAGGCTGAAAGCTTTTAGGAGAAAATCAAATTAATTTTTATCAATTTTGTTATTTATATCTTAAAGGATGATTAATAAAAAAATAAGAGCAGAATTTATGGTAGTGCAAAACTTGAATCAATTGTCCTATTTGCAATTATGTGAGAGAATAGGAACAGTATCAATTCAGGTAAGTGTATAATGCAGAGGGCTGATTATGACAACCTGGACAATCTAGGAGCTGAATTTAAAGAGAAGATGATTATCCTTGAAATTGAAATCTGAGGCTGGAAGTCTAGGTTTATTGGACTATCTTAATGTGCACAAAAAATCGTAATGAGTTGGAAATCATGAAAGTAAACAAAATAAGAAAAATAGACTCAGGAGGCATAATAAATAAAAGCATATGGTACCTACAGAAGGATAAAAAAGAACTAACTTAAAGTGAGATTAAAAGAGCAGAAGGTAGAGAAAAGTATTCTAAAAAGCTCATCTTAATCAGTGTTGGGAAAATGAAAAAAGCAAAATGATAGACACTAGTCAGGGAAACGGTAGGCATCTTATTTTAAAAAAAGAATAGAGCAACATGTAACTGGAAAAAAGTACAGTAAACATGAAAAGAATATTACAGTAGCCCTTCTGTTTTCATAAAAGAATAATAATATAAATAGTATCTGAAACCAGCAAAACTTTAAAATGAATATTATCTTTTTGTTGATGAGATAATTATAAATTTAAAGAACTTCAGTCATGCCAGTAAAAAAAACTCCAGAAAGTAGGAAGGTGGCTGTATAAAACTGACAATTTTAGCATTTTTCATTTCAGTATTTTACTATTCTCTTACAATTTTGTTTGATGTAAAAATTAGAAAGTATAAGTCACTGTACTTCCTGATATACCTTTCCTTAAATTCTTAGGTATCTTGGTTTATATTTCTTTCTTCTTGGTTATATACTAGAGCTCAAACTAAATTTGAAGTGATCAAGTGATCTCAAAGATCTAGGCATGCAAAAAATTCTAGGGCTAATCTGTTGTGACTCTTGGACTGTGTAAACTCTATCTGTAAGAAAGTGCAAGGTGATCTTTAGTTTTTGAAATTTGTGCCATTACTCTATAAACAAGACATCTCATTCAACATAAATGTTACATTTTTCTGCCTCCTGTGTTCTTGAAGGAACAGTAGCTTTTGGATGAACCTTCTCAAGGAAAGTTGATGGATACAGGAAATCATTCGGTGGTGTCTGAATTTTTGTTGCTGGGACTCACCAGTTCTTGGGAAATTCAGATTCTCCTTTTCCTGTTTTTCACAATATTTTATGTAGCAAGCATGCTGGGAAACCTTCTCATTGTGCTCACAATCATCTCAGATCATCACTTACATTCCCCAATGTACTTCTTGCTGGCAAATCTCTCCTTTATTGATACAGGTGTGTCCAGCATTGCAACTCCAAAGATGATTTATGACCTCTTCAGAAAACGTAAAATCATCTCTTTGAAAGGGTGCATCACTCAGATGTTCTTTATCCACACTGTTGGAGGTACAGAGATGGTGCTGCTGATAGTCATGGCCTATGACAGATACACTGCCATCTGCAAGCCCCTCCACTACCTGACCATCATGAGTCCGAGGATGTGCATTTGTCTCCTGGCTGTTGCTTGGATCATTGGGTTCATTCACTCTCTAGGCCAGCTGGCTTTTGTTGTAAACTTACCCTTCTGTGGAGCCAACAAGATGGATAGCTTCTATTGTGATTTTCCTCGGTTCATCAAACTTGCATGTGTAGACTCCTATAGACTGGAGTTCCTGGTCATGGTCAACAGTGGTTTCATCTCCATGGGCACCTTCTTCATCTTGATTGTGTCCTACATCTTCATTTTGGTCATGGTTTGGAAGCATTCTTCAGGTGGTTTGTCCAAGGCACTCTCCACTCTCTCAGCTCACATCACTGTGGTAGTTTTCTTCTTTGGTCCTTGCATTATCGTCTATGGGTGGCCGTTCCCTACTTTACCTATAGATAAATTTTTAGCTATCTTTGATGCCATTATCACACCTTTTATGAATCCTGTCATCTATACATTTAGAAATAAGGAGATGAAGGTGGCAATGAGGAGACTCCTTGTTAAGACTTTACATTTCAGAAAGAGTCCTATCATGTGCAGTCAAAGAAATTCAGATAAATATTGACTATTATTGGAAACTAATCTCTTTAAATATTTCACAAATCTTTTCATTTTAGTTTCTCAAAATCCACTGTGGAATCTCACCTATCTCTCTTCAAAAGCTCTTTTTATAAATTCTTTTATTGGTAGATTTTATATATACAATACCTTTATATTTATCATTTGGAACTTGTAACTTTACATGATCTATCTTGGTTCTTATTTTTTCCCCATTCCCCTGCCCTCCCTTCAACTCCTCCATCCCTCCCTTATTTACAAAGGCTTTGTTTCCATTTTTTCCTTTCCCTTCTTTCCTTTCTCCTACCCCTCCCACTTCCCCTACCCCTTTGGACCTTTTCCTCCTATTTTACATTATCAATTATTCATTTTAATCCTTATATACCCTTTCAGTTTCTCACACCAGAGAAACTATTCGGTATTTACACGTTTGTCCTATTTAGTTCACTTAAGTGTATGGCCTCAGTGTGCATCCATTTAGCTATAAATGTCTTTAGTTTGTCATTCTTTATTGCTCAGTAGTACTCCATTTTATAAAAAAATCACGTGCTCTTTATCCAGTCTCCAGTTGATAGGCACCTGGGCTATTTCCAAGATTTAGTTATTACAAACTGTGCTGCTATGAACATGGGTGCACATATATCACTGTGGTATGATTCCTTTAATTCTTTTGGGAAGATACCCAGCAGAGGAATAGCTGGGTCAAGTGGGACTTCCAGTCCTAGTTCTTTGAGGTATCTCCATGCTGATTTCCACAGTTGCACCAGTCTACACTCCCACCAAAAATGGAGAATGGCTCCTTTTTTCCCACCATGCTGCCAACATTTGTTATTGGTTGATTTTTTGATAGCAGCTATTCTTTCTGGGGTGATGTGGAATCTCAATGTTGTTTTCATGTGCATTTCTTGAATGACGAATGATAATGAACATTTTTTTCATATGTTTATTTGCTGCTTTTACTTCTTTGTCTGAAAAATGTCTGTTGATTTCAGATGCCCATTTTTGAATTGGGTCTTTAAATTTCGGGGGATCTGATTTTTTAAAAGTGCTTTATATATTCTAGATAGTAGTCCTTTGTCTGAGGTAAAAAAGATTTTTTCCCACATTGTAGGTTGTCTCTTAGCTCTGTTTTTGGTTTCTCTTGCAGTTCAGAAGCTTTTTAATAAGATGAGATCCCAGGTGTTGATTCTTTGTGCTAATTCCCATGCTACTGAGGATTTGTTTTAAAGGCTTTTCCTATGCCAATGTCTTCAAGAGTTCTACCTAACTTATCTTCCAGCAAGTTTAGTGTTTCTGTTTTAATATTTAGA